TCATGTATTAATTCAATGTGAAGATTATGAAAATCGTGCATTAGTAAAATTAGAACGAGCTAAAGAAGAAATTAGTAAATTATTAAAACCAACTGTAAATCTTCGAATAAATTTTGTTTCAAATTCTAAAAAAAAATTTTTTTTTTTTATTTCTTTCTTCAAGGCTGAAGGTGAAGATTATTTAAAAAAGAAACAATTAACCGAATTAGCTATTATTAATGGAACATATCGTGAACCAAATTTATTTTCAAAAAAATTTCCATTTCAAAATAATCAAATACCAATTGGTGCTCCATTAATTTTAACACCACGTATACAACAAAATTTTCTTACAACATCAATGCCACCAACTACAACACCAACATTTTTTACAACAACTGAAACACAACCAACAACAATAAGTACTGTTCCACAAAGTTCACTTCTACAAAATGGTGAATCAAATTTTTTACAAGTATTTACACCGTTACAAACGATAGATTCAATCGGAGGTATGTTAACTAGTGGTACACATTTATTTGAATATCCAAGTCAAACTGGTAAATAATTTATTATATTCTTTTGTTGCAATTTTATTTAAATAATTTCGATTTCTATTTTTTAGCATTTCCTTTTCTGACGACGACAACAGCAACAGGTATCAAATATATTTTCACTATAACTTTTGTTAAACAGCATCATGCACTTGCTGTTATTGTTGTATTAGACATCATAAAAGCAAAAGTATTGATCTATTCCTTAACTGTATGTTAATCCATAATCTTTATTCATATCTACCTCACTACTATTTTAAAAAAAGAAACATACAAAAACTTGCTTTTATTGTATAATCACTTTCTAACGAAATCACATAACCAAATTATTGTATTTAATCATAAATTAATTGGAAATAACAGCAAGTGACATGCTTCTAGTGATTGATAGATAGATAGTTTTAGATATAGAACAGAAATCATTCTCTCTTCTTCTAGGCTCGTTAATATCACTGATTCAGCGATGATGAAGACAAAAAAAGGCATGAACCAATAAAACGCTTAATTCCTCTTGTTTCTTTTTGAAAATCAAGGTTTTTTTTTTTTATATCTATATGATTTCTTTTCTGTTTGTAAATGCTATAGAATTGACTGACAACCATAAAATGATTTTTCTAAACCGATATTTATAATTATTTTTATAATATCTCACTGCTTTCTTTTGCTTTTTGTTTCTCTTCTTTATCGTGCAGGTGTAGCTACTAGATCAACAACAAACCATCATTCAGGGAAAATCACACCAGCAGCAACAGGTTCTTCTGTCTCTGCCCGGTATCAACCTTACACAATTCAGCCACCTGGTTTTAATCGATCTTAAACTTCTTTTACCTTCTTTTATAACTAAAAATAACATATAAAGGTTTGTTTTATTATCTAACAAATAAAAAAAAACTAAATAAATCAATAATTTAATATTTAGTTTTCTGTTCATACTGATTTAACAATTATACGTAAAACTTTCTCATTCTTAATATATATGCTTGCTTGATTTATAACAAAATAAATTTTCATAAATCGGCGATTTTTCTTCCTTGTTTATGATCATTGTCGAAAAGTCATTAGTAATGTTAACTTTTTTCAATTGTATTATAATAAGTTTAAAAATTTCTTTTAAAATTTATGAATTTCTGTGTGTTTTGATTATGCACGTTTCTGTGCATATTAAATATAAAAAGATTTTAATCCTTGTTTGAATGTTGGTGATAAATGAATAAAGATCAATAATAACATCCACACTTCTACATTTTCTTTTTGAACAATTTTTGAAAAATTTTCACTTACATGTCCAACGTGTCTCGATGAACATTTGAAAAAATGCCTTTTAACAAAAGATGATCAAATAGTCTTAAGCATTAGAGAATAGGTAAGTATGGAAACAGTATTAAGGGATACAATATGTACAGGTCAAGGCTTATGATGAAAAATAGAATTTAAAAACATGTAATTGTACTGTGTGTGTTATCATCGTTACGTTGGTTTTGGTTCTTCTATCTCATATTTATTTCTTTGGCATGCAAGTCAATGAATAGTTTTCTGTATTATACTGTATTTATATTTCTCTCTTTCTCATTTTCTCACTATGTAGTCTTATATTGCTGTTATTTGTTTGGGCTCATTATTGTTGTTATGTCTATTTACCCTAACTTCTTCTTTTTAGCTGATTTCCCAGTTTTGTGTAGATAATTAGAAGATTGCTTTACTCTCTGGTCGAACAACGAGGCACTTAAATCTTTACATACAGACAAATACTGATAACTTTTAGGATGAACACAATGAGTATACAAGAAGAATGTCGATGTGAACCAAAGTTGAAACAGATCTTGGTATCCGGCCCCGGATGTAACTGCAGATGTTTTCTCGGCGAACACCTACAGTCTCTTCGAATGGTGACTAGGGGATTCTCATATCTCGTTACATCTGATTTAGGATGCAACAAATGTAATAAATCGACTTTAAATCGATACTGGCCTTGTTGTAAAATCCCCAAAAACTTAACCCCTCAGGATAGTCGAACTCGTTTTTTTAACACCGCAATTCAGAGAAAATTGCCTGTAACTTGTCTCCAACACTATTTTGAAGACTTAGACGAGTGCATATTTGGCGAAACAATCGGACCCTTTCTTTTAAATATTATTTCTTTTCTTCACCTTTCTGAAATTACAATGATATCGATATATGAAATAAATAAATATTAATTTTTGGTTGACGAAAGGATTTACAAGAATATTTAAACCACATTTTGAAGCAGTGATACCATTTCTATTACAAAGTTCACATTGAATGGCTTTTGTATTTTATTGTCTGTTGTTATTCATATTGCAGGCTGTTGCTGATGCATTCAATACCACTGAAGGGCCACCAAAAAGCCTTATGGTACAACTATCTACATGGTATGGGGATGCACAATCATTAGTAGACATTATGTAATATATTTACAAGTTCCATCGTGACCCATCCAAAGCAGACTTTATCCAGAATCTCGTTATTCAAGACGTGGCCATTGGATCTCCTGATGTGTCGATATTCGATGATGAGATGATTGAGGCAAACGATATTTTGATGAAGAGCAAGCTTGATGTATTACTCACATATTTTCCTGATGGATCTGGCCAGTGTCATTTCAACCATGTCTTTGTCGGTACAGTAGATTAACAAGATGTTAAAAATTTTGCAAATTGAAGTTTCTACCGAGACGGAATCCAGTCTCCTCAAGTTCGACACAATGTATTGAAACATAGTAAGGAAGTATAGCCGATGATTTTGCATCATTTGTCAACAATTCCTCCAGCTCTAATGCTATATATCATTGGTATATCACTCCAGAGGCAATGCTTAACTATTTAATTGATTCATCGATCAAAGAAGCTCATCTTTCTTTTCTTATCCAATATATCAACGAACTATCAAGCATAAAAGGGTCGAGGGCATTTCTATGGTCTCCTGGCTTTAATGAACTACCATCAGCCTTTCCAGTTGGATCTATGCACCGTCTAAAATTAGCATGTAATCTAAATGATATGTTTCTATGGCTTAGGTTAGGAGTGATAAAAAAAACTCATCCCTAGACATGGGTGCTGGCCTATTGTGGTTACATTTGCAAGATTATGTTGGATCGATGGAAACTTGGCAGCCACCAATGACACCTAAGGATGTAGCACAATGGTTCGAATTTCTACGTAATACGACTCAATTTACAAGCCTCAATATGAACGCAGAACAGTTTCGAAAAAACGAAGACTTCCTTATACCGGCTGACCCCGTTGAAGTTGCTTCACGAGAGCGCTTCTACCAGAAGCGAGATATTGCATTGGGTGCAGCATGGGAAGTATGATTCTGGAGTGCCAATAACCACAACTAATTTTTGGTCTTTATATTCAGTGCTTTTCAATATCCCAGGAAATTCTCTTGAACATTTAGAAAACATCGTAATATTCATCAAATGTTGTTGAAGTGCAGTTGAATAAAAAACCGACCAAAACACTCATCCACTCATATTTCCACACCCACATATACACAGTAGTGTCAAACTTGAAAGTTGAATTCAAGTATTCAACTATTCGAATTGTCAAATATTCAAGTTTTCAATTAGTCAACGTTTGGAATGCCACCAGAATCGCTGAACGTCGACAGCTATTGTCTGCAGTACTACGAGCATCATCTGGCCTGTTACAGAAGCTTTTTAAAATGCTGTCAGTATTACCTAGTATGCTACAAATTTTGGTTGCAATGCTTCATACATCATCTGGGACGCTACAAAAAGTATGTGAGAAGCTTGAGCGACCCCACAGTACTGAGTAGGAATAATGGTGTACACAGAGACGTGCATGGGTCGCGAGCTCTTCTGGTGCCGCGAAGCGCTCCCACGTCGCGACTCTGAAATGAATGGTGTGTTAAGCAGGGAAAGGCGCTTCCCCAATGAACACTCGCAGAACAGTTGACAAGTGAAAATTGGAATAGTTGAATACTTGAATTCAGATTTCAAGTATCACACATATGACAAAGAACAGAAACCGTATTTTTCTGCACAACCACGAATAATTGTTTGAAGTGGTGTAAGTTGAATATTAGCACTAAAAAACTACTTATGTTTACATATTAATTAAGGAATTATTTTTAATTCACTTATATTGTAATTAATATTAGTTTGTAACAATATTAACTTTAATGTGATACTCCCAATCGTCCACGAATCATGCTTTGATTTATCGTCTATTCCTGATTAGATGAAGGGATAGGTGTGGAAGGAGAAACAATCAACCTTCCACTCTCACATCCACACTGATCAATCCACTTTGATACCCACATCAGTACACACATCCACACCTCACAGCCATAGCCACATTCATGTTCTAGTGTTCGTGCGCGTTTGCTATATTTGATCATTCTTTTGATAATTTATTGGTCTGATTCCGAAATTTTCATAGAGCAAAATCTTTTTGTCGTATCCCGTACCAAATGTTTTTTCCTTTAAGGAAAAGGGACTAGAGTCCTATTAGCCCCTTCTTCTTTCAGTGCATTCCAACTGCAATCATCATCTCCAAAGATCTCAACACATCGTATAACGCCTCCAAGTACAATAATTCCCGCAAAAACAAAACTTGTAATGTAAGCACTTTTGTACAATGTAGCGTCACAATATGTTGGTAATTGTGGATCAGTGTGTTGGACAGTCTTAAACTTATGAAATATCCAATAACAGCCCATACCATACCAGGCGATCATCAATAATGCAAATAAAAGTGAAAGTATGACGTTGACATATTTACATTTACCTATTTTAATAGCGAAGCAACCTGTTACCCAATCGACAGCAATAAAACTTATACCCATAGCACCAGCAACAACTAAGTATAATGGTATTTTTGGTTGAATAGTGCAAAATACATCATTGCGATTATAATAACGAACACCGTAGTGAATTTGTGCAATAGAACAGCTCAGAAGTAATGCTAGACCAAAAAGTTTAAGACACAAGGAGACTACTTTTATATTCATGATAACTTGCTGCGATACAATCGCTGAAACTTTAGGTGCGTCTATATTTCATCTAAAAGATATGTTTCACTTAAGTTTCCGTTAATATATATGTGGAATTACGATTGCATGCTTCGTAGTCGATTAAATTTGAGAATATTCGACTCTGCTCACACAGATATGATGGTAACCTAGGTCAATGAGCGCTATAAACTTGCGCAATTGGCTCTGCAAGCATACACAGTTATAAAGATTATTGCATCTTGTAAAATTGATAGGACAAGCTGCTCGTATCATCAACCAAGATATGGATTTCTCCAGCGATTTTCTCAAATATTTTTGATCTTTTTACAAACCTATGAAAGTTCATAGTTGCTCAAAATTAGCAAGCTGTACTAGAGTGTATTACGCAGACTCCGCGTTGTTCGAAACAAAAAGACAGTAACTTCCATGGTTGGTTATGATGATGCATGTGTGTGCAGCAGATATCTTTTTCTCAAAATGACTTCTATTTCAGCCTTTCCGTGCATTTGGTTGCTCCTCAGAAATAGGTCCTCGAATACTAGAGCACATAATTCTACTTGAACTTAGGAATGATCAATTTACAGTTACGAAAATTTTATAAATTCAAAAATAAATTTTGAAAATTTACATTATTTTAAATTTAAAATCAATTAACCGGAAATCAGCATTTCTCGACTTTTTTGAACTTCTGAAAGAAGAAAGTCACATACTACGAACAAATCTTGAGCTTTGCAAGGTCGAGCATAAAAAAAAATCTTCGATTTGAGTACATTGTCGAATTTTCAGTGAAAGTTTGACAATACTGAACTTTGTGGAAATTGCCACAGTATTTCGACAACTATGGAAAATTTAACAATATTGTCCAAACTTTAATAGAATTTCGAAATACTTCTCTGAAAAACTTCCTTGTTAGTAACAGCATAGTCGAGTGTTTCTTAACAATTATTATGATTGTTGATAAGAAGAAATAAAAGAAGATGTCCATCTACAGATATCACGTTGTGATTTTGAATAATGCGAAGTCAATCAAGATTAAATACATCCGAAATGCCTTTATGGAAACCAAACTGATTTTTAGCTGCTTTGGAGAGATCATCGTCATGTAGAATGATATCGTCCAACAATACTATATTCTTCATGGTGTCTTCACTAGATGCCATTCCTAGTATATTGAATACGTTCGATTATTCAATAATTGTATAATGTTTCTGAAAAAAAATGAGAAGGAATACGAACAATAATTACGGAGATAAGTCCAGCAAGAAGATGTAGACGTCAATATAATGTTAGCTCAGCTTGTGCCACGTGCAAGTAAATAAAACACAGTCCTGTTTATATGTTATCTTTGCGCACACTAGAAACAAAAGAACGAGTAGATAATTCGCAAAGACAAATGAAACAGGTTGACAATAACAGTGCTCTACACGAGCAGGGTTTGGGTATGCGAGTGCGAGTGTGGACAATAGAATGCGCTCACACATTCAAACCCCATGCAAATTGTGAGATGATAACATTCCTAAGCTAGACGGTGCATTAAATCTGCATTGAGTGTTACGAAAACAAATATTCACGCCACTACATTTAATGCAACCTTGAAGCATGTACAATTATTTTGGTTCACCAGAAGCAACAGTTGAAAGATGATTTAATTTGTAGTAATGAAAAATAGTATTTCTTTTTTCTGTGATATTTGTTCTCAAGAGATGTTTTTCATTCTGAAAATATCGATTGTTTGTGGTTCAATTTCTTTTATTGCAATATTTAATTTTAACTAATTCAGAAAATCGAAATTATTAAATTCTTGATCTTCTTTCATGGCGACAGATGTATTCCGAGTGGACGGGTTGGGAGAACCATCCCTCAATCTTGAGGAGTTTTGAATTTCTCGTAGGAAAGTTCCGACACTATATTTATGTCTTTTTGCTGAACAATTCCCTAAAAAACCGCTCGATTCTGCCCCAAATTCGATCAATTTTAACAAAAATTTTTTTAATTGGTCTTTTGTGTTATCGATGTCTCCAAGCCCTGAGGGTCTCCAGCATCCTAGGCAGACACCCACATCCACATCAATACTCCATAACGTGTCCGTAATTTTAAGATGTATTTTGACTGAGTAGAAAACTCTTCGTTGTATTTCGAAGAGCTCGATGAAAATTGCCAATCATCTTATTGAAGTCACCAATCTTTTTATAATTGTTTTCAACATAGCCTAAATCTTTTGAGATTATTATATGATCATCTTTAAAATGTTTTTCATCGATAGTCAAAGCTCTGTTATCATACTAAATTGCTTTTTATGATTTTGAGATTAAGTAAAAGACTCCTGCCGAGTTGCTGAACAGTAGGACTATGAGCGAATTATTTTGACATACTAATTTCTTTCCAATTTTGTACGCACGATCGAACACCACTTGGAATAAATGTGGATGTGGCAGATGAGAATATGCGCAGTCACATTCAGAAGTAGACCTACAAACAACACTCTAATTGAACTTAAATTCATTCCAAATGACTGGGTATTTGTTGATAATTCGCCTTAAGAGTTCATATGCAGATCTTTTCCATATAATGAGACATTACTTCTATCAATTCAATATTTCACATGGAACACTGTTCACAGTTCTCTCGCTGTATACGACGTCTCCTGTTTAGAGTTCAAGAGAAACGTTATATAAAGCTAGTCCCTGATGACTCAAAGATTGATAAGCGTTCAATCATTTTTATTTCATAAAAACTGACCATTTTTTTTTGTGTTAAGCTCAGGTTTTTTTTTGTACATCATTCCCGAACGCATAAGTTTTATTATCTCAATTCGGGTTAATTTGTCACATGTTATTCAGATGAGTTTCGTTACCTATCTGTTCTTCAGATACATAAGTACACGACATGTTCTTCTGTCATCGTCTGACTCAGACATTCAACATGTGGTGTAAACGATCGAAAAAGTAATAGCATCATAGTTATAAAAAAAACGATGAGCAGTATTTGAATGCGACTTGTGTATGTGCGTGTGCATCGCATGACCTATTATCGGAATTTTAAAAAAAGACCATCGGGAAAAATGCTTATAACTTTTGAATGAAGATAGCTAGAGCCCTACGGTTTTCACTATTCGAAAGAGGAGACAAGGGGACGCCTTTTTTTCCAATATTGCATAGGACGAAATCATTTAAAAATCAATCATTTCTACAAAACATTGAAAAACTGCATGAAAACGATCTGTCATTCGGTTGAAATTTTGGTTCTGACATCTGATCTAGATAAAGGAACTTCAAATGTATAGTTGAAGATATAATTCGAATGATTATCTTTCCACCTCCTAATGTTGAAGAAATAAACTTGTCTATTCAATCGCACGAAAACTATGGAATTCTTTTAATTTTTAAGCATATTTTCTTACTTTTCGTCAAAATTGCACCTGAATGGCAGGCCGCTTTTTTATAAATTTTTTCGATGTTTTATAGAAATGACTGATTTTTAAATCATTTCGTCCAATGGAATATTGGGAGAAAAGGCGTCCCCTTGTCTCCCCTTTCGAATAGTGAAAAACGCAGGGCTCTAGCTATCTTCATTCAATAGTTATAAGCATCTTTCCCGGTGGTCTTTTTTTAAAATTCCGATAATAGTACGACAGACTGTCAATAGTTACTTATGATTTTGTTGGCGAGATAAGATCATACGAAGGTAATTCAATATTGATGCATCTATAGAAGAGAAAAACAGCTTGTCATTCAATTCCGTTTTCCCGACAGATTGACATCTAGAGAATTGTTTTAGCTTAGAATAGAGTCAAACAGTTTTAGTATTGCATCATGGGTGGCCGTCTTAATAAACCTTGTACTATTGCGACACCACGTGCTCATGATTCTCTGTCAAACAATTACGAACCGTCTCCCCGTACAACTTCTTGTCCTCCATCATCACACCCTAATCGTCTCATCGAGTTTAAAGACAATGACATTACGATGCGTTTAGCAATGCAATATACGATCGAGTCAAACATCTGCACAAATTCATTACAGTTTGACCATCGTGAATTTTATCGTCGACCTGATGCACGTACAATGGCACTTCTCACTCCATCTATTCTCAGTAAAGTGGAAAAAGAACTAATAAGAGACTTAAGCGGGGGACTATATCATATGGTGATAAATAGCGCTGCAAGTGCGTCCTTCAATGCAGCTCAATTCAAAAACTCGCATATGAAACGGAGTGAGCTCAGTGCAGCGATCATCGAAGCAGCTCTGACGCATATCATCGAGCATTTGGATCAGCATCCTAACTTGATTAAAGCTTTGGGTAGAGGCAAAATTGGCTACCACGACAAGGGTACAATGTTGAACGATATGGGTGTGCGAATATTTGTAATCAACGGACCAGAAAAAGCTAATAATGCAAATTAAAAACTGTTTGAGAAAGATGCTATTGTATCTACGATTTATTATGCTATTATCATTAAATAAATTTGATGTTTTATGACATTTGACTACTAAAATATGCAAATATTTGTTATTTTCTCTTTTTTAGCTCTAAACGACAAGCACTTAAAGCGACCATATCATCTATTAAGAAAGAAAACAAACAGCATGCTATTATTTCGTGACAAATATGTGTTTTTTATTCTTGTCAAATAAAAGTCTATTTATTATCTGATAATATGCAGAATTTAATCACGTACTTTTTCACTATGAAAAGACAATGAGTGATTATATTCGAATTCTTATACAGTTAGTTATTGTTCGGTCTATTAGATTGTCCATAGTATAAATTTCGCAAACCAACAAAAATAAGGATGCGGGTGTAAGATTATTAAAAAGTTTTTGTTTTTTATCCCACACAGTGACATATCCATACCCATGGGCCCTGAAATTTTTAAACCAACAAAAAAAACAAAAAAAAAAAAAAGGAACAATGTTATGCGAATTTATTATTGACATATATCTACTAATTTACGAGATTATAGACAAACGACTAAGACTCACCCAAAAAAAATACTT